CGAATAGTGTCTGTTTGATAACAGGTGACACATTTGATCCAGTTAGATGGAAGCAAAAGTCTTGTGGCCATAGATGATTATGCGACACAATCACATGATGTCTGTTGCACATAAAAGCATCCCATCTTGGTAGCAGATGAAGAAGAACTATCAAAGGTTTTCATGTATATAGATCAAACGTTTAACGCCAGATAAGTTGTAATACTGAGTCCATAAAGTAGATCATACTTGATGAGTTTTCGGATTGATTGTTTAAAAATCATTACGTAGAACTGCCGTTGTCAGTTTTCATGTCCTATTCGAAAATGGTTCCGTTCCACAAAACCCCATGTTTCTCATGCAGCTGCTTGATTTGCATTCCGACTGATTCAGTCACGCGTCTCATTTATTCTCGTCTCTGCGTTTTCCCCTCACCCCCAAAATCCGGGTCCACGCAACGGATGGTCACGTGACTATCACAGTCCACTATCATTGAAGAAAAATTGACGAATGGACTGATTGCCGGTCACGCGTACAGTGTGACAGCTGTGAAACCGGTAAGATTTGATTCGTCTCTTCAGTACTATGTGTGTGCGAATATCGATTAAATTTGCAATATTTCAGACTGGATATCAGCCTAACATCACGGGTTTTCAGGCTTCGTTTATTGCGAAACTTAGGTGTGAACTAACCTCATTTATCAAATTGTTTTCGGGACTGAATATGCTGTAAGTACAACTTCTAAGGGAAATTAATCAGGCAGACAAATGTACTCTTTTATGACACGTGTTTCATGAGTAGAGCACATGATTGACTAATTTTAAATCCGACATTCCAAGGTGCCCCAAAAAATACATTGCATTACTATTGTCTTTTGGCGGAGGGACCCTCTTGATCGATAAATAAGGTTTTTCTCTTTTGTGGGCTTTTCTATGAGGTTCTTCTCGATGAATCTCTCCGGATATCCATTATTGAGGAGTCTAGATTTGATGAATCTAAGTTCAGATCATTCGAGTCCTGAAGACCAGACATTGGACTAAGTTTTGTTTAAATTTGATTGGGACGAAACTTTCAAAATGAGTGTATTAGCCGTTCCATTTTGGATTTCGAAAAACAGTACGGAATAACTTTCCACTGGGCCCCTTCTTCAGGTTGACGTCGAGGAAGTGGAGCGTATCCTCATTTTCTGTTTCCTTTGAAGTTGATTGACGGATGAGCTCGGTTAAAACGATCCAATATTATGTTCGGTAAAATACTTTTGTCGGAAAGGATAAAAATATTGTCGACATAACGGCAGTATAGCGGGAGTTAATGTATGATGTCTCGTAGTTCGTTGTTTTCCAGTTTGGCTACGAAAACATCTGCAAGGAGCGGGCCAAGTGGGGAACCCATGGCTACACCGTCTGTCTGTCTGTAGATTGTACCATTAAAAGAAAATTGAACATTATATGTACATTATAATAATAGTTCCTTCAAATGTGTAGTTAGGATTTCAGTTTGTATGTTTTCCTTGTCAATGTACTGGCAAAGGTAAGACACCGTCTCGGCACATTTTTTTAAAAAGGGATTGTATGTCCCATGAGCTCATTGTCAAATCTTTGACGTCCAAGTCCCGAATTAGGTCGACAAATTCGAAAGTATCTTTCAGGCTGTTTGCAGATTTTCTTCCTGACCGGATCCAGGATTTTTACTAGCCATCGAGCAATTGAGTGAAAAGGTGGAACAATAAAAACACTCTGAACAGCTGACAACCTTTCTGCTCCATTGTGTTCCAGTGAGCGCCGTTCAAAAGGGTCTCACATAAGGTGTACATAACGCATCGATCCCGGTAAATCACGGCTTTCCATCTGGTATGCCATTATGCCATTTGAAGATTTTGTACTGAGTACTGATACTCCGAACTCCCACCTAGCTGCCTCGGGTGCACTCGGGCACTCGACAGACGAATGTTGATATGACCAACCATCAGTGACTTCGGTTGGTTGCCCGGGAGCCACTGAACGACAGTGCTCTCGTGGACTTATGGAGGGGGAGACTTCGTATTGTATCTATAAGATACAAAGTAGACCCAACATGAACCAAAGGCCCAGCGACATATGATCACACGATCCCGATCAATTCAAAGTGGCCAAGCGACTGATGCACAATACACGATGAGTTTTGAAAGATCCAAAACCCTGTCTAATTGCCCGGACTTCGAACCACGCTGATGTCAATGAACTTCCATAGCGGGTTGTTCGTCGGAGTATGTTTGCAATGTTAGCTCGAAATAGAACATTTTGTTCTGGTAGTGTATGAANCGTGGATCTGTACAAAGACGGGTTGTGCTGTATCGTGTAAATGGAAAATGAAAGATGGTTTGATCGGCTGCCCGGTGTCCGAGTGGATGGCATGCCTCCGTTATATCCATGAGGTCCCGGGCTCGATTCCCAGTCGAATCGATTGATTCGCACTGCTGATGAGACCCAATCAAGTGGAAACAGCTGTCCAGGGCTTCCTAGCTTTTCAGTTCACGCTTCGTTTACCATAAACACGACGAATTTCCCCTTTGAAATGAAATCAAATTCTCCGTTACTCACATGGAATATGGGAATCAGTGCACGCTTTCATCTGTTTAAAAT